AATTCTAATTATATATATATATATATATATATTTATTTATTTATTAAATTTATCTCTTTTAATTTTCTAAAAAATTATCTTTATCTTTTTAGTTTTTATAAAAGATGTGAGGTTAAAATAACTTTCAAGTCTTTGACATTTTAATTTCTGAAAGTATAAAAATGTAAAAGGAGTTTCTGAAAGTGTAAATGTTATTCATTGTAATCTAAATTTCAAAAAATTATGTGATTTAAATGATAATATTAATATATTTTTAGAAATTAAAATGACAAAAAATATTATTTTTAGACTTAAAAGACATAACTAAAGTTTTAAAAGACTTATTTATAATTTTTTTTGCTTTTAAGGATTAAAGTATTAATAATATGCACTTTCAAGGATTTAAATGATGTATCTCAGATATAACTATGAAATAAGATTATAAAATAGGTTTTTTTTAAAATTAAATTCTTTTTTGATGTTTGAAATATTAAATTTATTACGTCAGACACATGGTTTTTAGTTAGGCGTATAATTTACTGTCACTTTTTTCCTTTAGAAAATTTAAATATAAAAAGGCTCTAATTTCAGGTCTACTTATTTCACTATCAAATCTTTTGATAAATAAATTAACGAAATAATCAGATTATTTTTTCAGCCAAAAAAAAAAATCATTTATTTATTTATTTAAAAACATTGAATCATTGATCATCAGTTTAAAGATATTTATGATTTTTTTTCTTTTATTATACCCTCAATCTTTATCTCAAGAGGAGGATGTCAACAGCAGCATGCTTGGAGTCAGAGACTCGTATGTTCTCAGAAATATACAATCTTGCAAATTCTTTAATTTGTTGGAAGCTACTTACAATACGAATGGAAGAAATAATTGGTCCTATAGCTACTTCTTTCAGGCATCTAAAGAATACTACTAACTAAACAAGTACATATCCATTGTTGGGATATGACATGTATCTGATAATTTACACAGCTAGAAACATATAATTTAAAATAAATAAAAAAAATCCTTCCTTTTCTCAATTTTTCACTTTAGACATGTGCAATGATAAGTCATGAACCAGTGTTTAACAAAGAGAACTTAGCCCATAAACATATCTTACCCTTGTCCAAGACCAATCTTGCCCCAGTGACCAACCAGTGGCCAGGACTATCTTGTGGACCTTTGCACAACTGTGACGTGTCTACAAACTTCAAAAGCTTTTGTGTTTGCACAGGCACTGGAGGTCCTGTTGGAAACACACTTGAATCCAAAACTACAATTGGTTTTTTCTGGTCCTTACCAGAAATTGATGTGCTTATTGCTGAGAAAATGCCAGATCTTTGGGATAACCCAGAGGAGCCCTGTGTCCAACTTGATTTTACAACTACACAATTAGACACCTTAGAGAACAACAGCCTCAGATGAAGGACACTCCTTGAGTCATGTTTCTTCACATGAAGTTGGGCTCCTGTGACAATAAAGGCCACAGATTTATCAGAGCTCCATCTGGGGTTGTACTTCACTGGTGCTGTACATACATGGGAAAATTTCTTCCCATTGATTGCTTCAAAGAAACGTTCGTCACTGATTTCTTCTGACCATATTGGGGTGTCTTCTATTTTGTTGCTAAGCATTATTGGAGTATTCAACAGATGTTGCACGTGTATGGCTAATCTGTATCACCAACATCCTTGTAAGTAACAATCATTGACCAAACAATCTTAGCTAAGATTGATGGTTAGTCAAAAGTATAATGAATCAGGATTAATTGTATTTTTAGTCTCTTTTCTCTTTTAAGTTTTAATCATGTCAATTGAGTTCTTCAAGTTTTCTTTCATTAACTGTCACTCCGTCCGCTTCCTCCGTCATGATTTTATTCAATATTTTAAGTTGTGATAGTGAGTAAATACAATATAACAACTAAAAAACACAACTTATTTGAATTGAATACAATATGACTTAGGTATTGGATGAAAATATGATGGGGAAAACTGATTGTAAATGAAAGAAAATTTGGGGATCCAATTGGTCTAATTCATACTTACTAGGCCAAAATTGCATAATCACATCCTTGTGAGCTAAAAAAGTAATTAAGCTAAAGAATAATTACTAGTATATGGTGTGAAGTTAACCTGTTGCATTTCATGCCCTCAAGAAACAAGCGCATCCCTGTGATTGGCCTTTTACCAACTGTCACCTGTTTTGAGTAAGATACTTAATTAGGCAGGAGAACATGACAAAGTCTAATAATTGATAGGGAATGGTTTGAAAGTACCTTTGACGTGTTTACATAAAGCTTGGGACCCATCAAATTGAAACTGAGCGATGGTGAAGAGTTAGTTCTGTTTGCGGCGGGACAGAGAGGAAGATCATTGTGAATGGGAGCCCAAAGTTTGTGTGCTTGGTAGTCAAGAAAGTATGGCAAATCTGATATTGGAGGCTTATCTGCATTTCATGTGAATTTAATTCATTTGATTAGTTCAACAACCAAAAGGTGACATCCTGGTGAATAATGATTAAACATTGTCAATGGGACCTCAACACTTGAAAAGTCAATAAAGTATGGCAAATCTGACACGGTAGGCTTATCTGCATTTTATATGAATTTATTTCATTCTCATTTGTAAAAAATTGATAAGCTTTCTCTAAAATTTATGTATTAATTTATTCTATATGGTAAAATTGTTTTCAGCTACAATATATATGGGGGGAAAATAGGAGTTATGTGATGGTAAAAACTAAATAAATAAATAAATAAATAAAAACTTACATCGAAGGTAGAGGTTGATGGCATGGGATAGGAAGCCCTTGCCAGGAGCACCTTTAAGAAGAGAAGTGATGGGAATAAAACTAAAATCAACAGCATCTGGCTTGTTTGGAACTGTCAGAAGCCATTCACTATGGTTCTTCACTTGGGTATCCCCTCCCCTCTTTGCGCATATAACCGTAATTCCCTGCATTTCCATTTTTTATAATATTCTCAAACTCATTGTTCACATGATTAATTAAAAATTAAACTAAAATATTGAATATTCAACTATTCATGAAAATTGGATTGAGGTAGAACCTACATCTTTTGCACAAACGGATGTAGAGCTATTAAAGGCAACAATTTGAGGACCAAAGACATCAAAAGCTTGTGGTACCTGTATTTCAGCATATTATTAGTTAGAACAAGATCAAATTATGGAAAAATATATAGTGGCTTATTTTTTGTTCTAATTTGCAAAATG